GAATACGGCAAGAGAATGGCATTCCACTTTACCTCCGGGAAGCATCACTAGTTGGGTGGAATTTGCTCAAAAATTTAGGCCCTGTTTGATGGCTTTGATTTTCCATTTTCCCACTTTTTGGCTGTTTGATGACAATAATTTTCCATGGAAANACTGCATGTTGGATTCTAGCTTATTGTTGAAGAATGATTGGGTACTGAACTTTGATATTCAGATTAATGAACATGCTAGAACTCTGCTGTAATTGGTTATTGTGCATGTTTTTATGCTATTGGATTCCATATTAGGCTGCATATTGCTCAACAGTATATCCATCGTATAATCATCCGAACTTTCCACTTTGGTCGAATGTGATTAACTTGTTCTCCAACACTATATCATTCAATGGGAGAACCGATGAAAATCCATATTCTCATATTGTTGCACGCTTTATATCAACTTCAAATATGAAGGTGCGAGTGTGGAAGCAAACGGATGATATTCTTTGTACGTACATTGAAGAATACGGCAAGAGAATGGCATTCCACTTTACCTCCGGGAAGCATCACTAGTTGGGTGGAATTTGTTCAAAAATTTACTATAAAGTCTTTTCCACTACAGAGGTCCGAAAGTGGCTGTGGAGAAAGTACGTGGTGGAGATCCGGTACCCCAATCGGCACGGTTCGCAGCTGGGGATATTCAACACCGCCATTGAGGAGGTTAAAGCTACGACAAGACTGCTTTTAAGCTGCGCGGATGCAAGGCGATTCTGAATTTCCCTTTGGAGATACAAAGGGACGTGTTTTAGTCATGCGCCAACGTTTATGTCGGATTAAAGCGAAGGAGAGAGATGGAGGACGAAGCTGGGATGTGGAGAAATACATAAAGCGTGAAACAGAGGTTCAAAATGAAATGCCATTTGTTGAGAATGAGACGTTTAAGGTGCAACCATTGTCACCGTTATCTCCCTATCCAGATTACAGTGAAAGTGATATAAGGTGTTGCTTGTGTACTCTGAAGCCAAGCATGTGCTTGCTTTTCGAAGTCGAGGTGAGTCGACATTTGTTGGATCTAACATTATTAAATTAAACAAGGTGNGTGATATAAGGTGTGGCTTGTGTACTCTGAAGCCAAGCATGTGCTTGCTTGTCGAAGTCGAGGGGAGGCGACATTTGGTGGATTTTACATTATTAAATTAAACAAGGTGCAATAACTTGTTCGTCGATTGTTTCATTCACTGCTATTGAGGTCAATCTACATTCTAAATATTCTCAAATAATTTGATTTAATGGAAAATTGTAACTTTTTCATGTTGAGTTGTATGCTTCGGGATGACCAATATGTTATTTAAATGTAGTTGTAATACATTTTATTATCTATTTTGAGATGTGTTGCTCATCAAATCCATTTTTTCTTCCAACTAATTAAGGAAAATAGCCGTTGGAGTTTCAAATCTTTCAAAGAAATGCAGTGAGGTCTCAAACCATTAATTCTTGAGACATGAGGTCTATTTTTGGAAGATAACTGTTCCAAAATTTGTTAGTTCAACACCTGAGGTTTTTGACAAAAAGTTAAAAAGGCAAAATGGTTTCTCCACATTTTTCCATTTGAAAAAAATAATAATAACATAATTGTCATCTTACCTAACCCTGCACCCAACCTGCCACCGCTACCGCTACCACCATCACCAGGAGAAGAACTCCCCAAGTTTTTGATACGGGAGATTTCAACTTGAGGATATAACATGGAATAAAATAAAAATATCAGAATATCACAGAGATATTTTCATTTGCTTAAAAGATAAGTCTATAAGAGGATCAAACATGATTTCTCGATATTGCAACATATTGAGTATATCGCATCACAATTTTTAAACTTAAATCTCTTTATATCCAGAAATCATCTCTCTTTCCAAGTAATTGGGAGTGAAGTGGCAGAAATAGAGTTTCTTCAAGAATTAGTGATGAATATGATGAGGATTCTAATGGAATTAGGAAGAAAGAGCTCGTTTGGAAAGTTTTATAAACTGTTTAAATTATAAATAAAAACAAATAAATGGCGAATAAGTAAATAGTATTTGTAGATTTCTCCAAATGAGTGGATGGAAAGTGACTTGAGATTATGTAAACTGTATATAAATATCAGCCAAATATATGCTCTTACTAAACCTTAACATATTAATTTAGGAAAGCTTGAAGCAACAACAGCACGCTCAAGATTTACCTCGGGTGCCTTACTATTGGATCGACACCCTGCCCGAATATGATTCAATGAGAATCAATAAGTGGCCTGTTGGATTGACGTGAGGGGCACTTATGATGTCATTTATACTCCTTGGTGATAACTATCATCGAGATGTAAGGATGTTTATGAAACACATGGGCAACTTGACATGGAAATTCAACAGTTAGCTGAACCAAGAACTCATGAGTGGTCACAGATGTTGGAAATTGGTTTAGAAGATAGAAAATTTGGTGAAGTGTCAAAACCAAAAACTTGGGAAAAAAATGACTTTCGTGTCAACTTCGGTCAAATATTCGGACTTGATCCGATGGTCAAATTACAAATGTAAACAGACCAACTTGTTCTACTCGTCGAGTAAATCGTCGTGGTATATTTGGAATCTCAAAACCAATTCCGGATGAATGAGAAAATGCAGTCCAAAGTTGGGAAGAAAATAGAGGAAGCTGTCTGAAAAATTGACTAAGGCTGTTGTTAGCTTATGGCTGGACTGTCACTCAAGCGACAGGTTAGCGAAAAAGTCATTGTTTTTATCGCTCGAGCTAGGCGATGGCGATAGGCTAGCGATAGTGAATGGTGCGACCTATGGCAAGTGTTGTCGAGTTTGGGACGCGACATTTCATTCACAACCCCTCATCCTCTATATATAAAAACCATTGGACGTCTCTTTTGTATCCCATACCATATGTGTATTGTGCATTCATAACATATCTTGCAAAAACTCTCCCACATTCATTCCAAAACCATTTTCCTTGTAGAGAGGGAATTCCGTCAAGTTCGCCATTGTCTTGTGGTTTGAAGTGCTGCTACCACAAGAATTGAATCGACAACCGTGAGTACCGTAGTGGGGCAATATTGTCTTAAGGAGACAGTGCCATCACTTGCCTCGGATTATCATTTCCTACTACTACTACTTCTTCTTCTTCTTCTTCTTACTTCTTGGCTGCAATTTTAGTTTTTCATACATTAACAACTTTTTCTCGCTATCATTTACACTGGGAACAACAATCTTAAGACAATATCACGTCTGTAGTTGTTTGTTGTTTTCAAACCCGTATTTGTCATTTTTGGAATAGTATTCGTGTACTATTCTTTCCCCTTTTATTGTTGCTGCGTTAATCTTCCGTTTAAGTAACAAAAGTGAGTACCGTAGAGGTTACCTCGAGTCAACATGGTATGAGCAATGTGGTTCCGCCGTTGGCAATACCATTACAAAATACTGCGATACCACATGGGGAGAAGCCGGAAAAGTTTGGAGGCATAGATTTCAAGAGATGGTAACAAAAGATGTTGTTCTATCTTACTACACTCAATTTGGCAAAGTTTCTAAAGGGGACTCCGCCAACCATACAAGAAGGAGAAAATAATCGTGAACTGATTATCGCCTTGAACGCATGGAAGCATTCTGATTTTCTGTGCAAAAACTTCATCCTTAATGGATTGGACAATACACTTTATGGAGTGTATAGTTCGAAGGACTCGGCCAATTATCTATGGGATTCATTGGAAAAGAAGTATAAGATGAAGGACGTCGGAACTAAGAAGTTTATAGTCGGCAAATTTTTGGACAAGATGGTGAATTCCAAAACGGTGATTAGTCAAGTGCAAAAACTTCAAGTTTGGGTTGAAGAAAGTTGTTTGCTCGTGATGTGTTAGAATTTTGTTGCTTTTGAAATTGGATATGCCATTTTTTCTCCTAAAAATCTGATAAGTATAAGTTTAAGTGGGGATAAATTGAAATTTGGACATATCAATTTTTATTTTAAAAAAAAAGGTGCTACTTTTTGACTATTAAAGTTGTGCCGTTTTATAAAAAATTCTGATCAGCCCAATAAATTAAGCCCATGTTTGATAACTATTATTTGGGAAAACAGAGTTTTGAATAATGATTTTTAGGAGAATGTGTGGTTAAAAAATAAAGAAAGATTTTAGATTTACGTAAAGAATATTTTATTATATAAATATGTGATTGAAAATAAGTATGTAGAAAAAAGAGTTTAAAAATATTTTTTGTCAAATACGGGGCTAAATTAGATTTGACCAAATTGGGCTTTTCGTAGTAAAATCAGAAATGAGGAAATTACATCCACCCCTATTTTTTAAAGTAATAAAATGTTATCTCCTTAAATTCTTGTCAATAAAATTAAATGGGACAAAATTGAAGGAGAGGAAAAATAGCACAATTACTCTTGTAATCTCAATAACTGAAAATCATTGCATCAAGTCATCCAAATGTTATGCACCAATGTCTTCAATTCCACCATCTTTATACGATATTTATTCATTCCCGTTTGACTATAATGATGGTCATATCGATACTAGATTTTTTATTACTCTTTTTAAGAATCTCATACACGTTTTGTAACATACAAAAGTAAAACCATTGAGTTATGTTATTGTAAATATCATGTATGTTATGAACATTCATAACTATAATATTTATAATACTCTATCTTGAATGCTTTGTTCAAACTTTATGAGAGAAGATCTTAGTCTTTCACATACGCACATGTGAACGTTGACTTTTTAATAATCTTTTCAGGAAAATATAATTGGACAAAATTCTGATCAAGGAATAATATATCCATCCTAAGCTCTCATTCGGATTGCACGGTGCTGTTTTGGCTCAAATCTAATGGAAGAGAGCAAAAAGGGCAATCTTCAATCTGAAGTGAATGATCTTTATATAAATCAATCTATGATATCATGTATTTGTCTACCAAGACAAAAGAGTATACAGAAGAAAATATGCCAATTTAGCTGAGAATGTTCTCAACTAATTAATGTACGGTGTGGCTCATTCTAGGCAAGATATGAATACTTACAGCTTCAAACCCCGCCGGAGTATCGACAACCCACAATTTAGGCGCTTGCGCCACCACGTCCATCACTACAAAACCGCCACCATTACCAAACAATACACAAACCTTGCCACCGCCCGCCACCGTTTGGTGTGCCCCTTTAAGCCTATCATCCACCACTATCTCCACCCACATGTCCCTGTCGGAATCATACTTTCTTAATACACCTTTTGACTCATCCACCACATATATGGTTTCCTCATCCATGGAGGCGGCAGGGCCTCGCCACCCCACCAGCATCCCCTCCGGCATCTCTGACCATGCGTCTGTTTTTACGTCATATATTTTTCCTTCCTTGGCCGCGTCGCCTTTTACGTTCACCATGCAGAGCTTGCCTCTCCATCCAATTGCATCAATGGACTCACGGCTGAATTTTCCGTCCTTCAGTCCTCCCATTTTTTCCCATTTCCAAGATCGCTCAATCCCTAATGGTGATCGAAAATCATTGTTGTTGATATTTTTGAGGTCCCATTTTTCGACAGATCGAGCCAACTCGGTGTTGTAGTGGGACCCGATTCCACTCGCTACGTAAACGACACTACGTGATGCACCAGCTACGCACCACCGTCTTGGGGCGGCGAATGGTGGGCCATAGGTCCACCGCTGGAACAGGGGGTTAAAAATGAGCGGCCGAGAAAGGGCAGGGAGGAATTGGTCAGTGGTGGCGGCGACAAGAACTAAATTCCCCGAAACACTAACGGACTGAATTGGAAGTTTCCGGGATATAAATGAAGGGTGGTGGAATAGAAACTGAAGCGGTGGCGGTGGAAGGGACAACCATTTACAAGAAAGCGGCTCAAAACATGAGAATTCAACAGATGTTGAGTGATTAGAAGCTTGATCTGCTGCTTTTTTAGACACACACAGAGCATAAATCGAGAGAAAAGGAGGAAAAGACGGTGAATATATAAGGCGGCGCCATGAATGGCAAACTGAGTAAAGAATCGAAGGGTGTACAAGAGAAAGGCAAATCTGGGCTATATCATCAGGGAGTCCAGGCAACAAAGACTGGTCGTTGTTCTCGTTATGGCAGTGGTGGTGCTTTTGGCGTTTGAAGGCGGCGGCTGTGTGGTGGGGAACTTCTAGTTCAACTTTTGTAGAAGACATGGGATTTTGGTGAGTTCGGGTGTGAGGTGGAGATAGAGTTTCTTTAAAGGGCAGAAATGCTGACGTCATTACTTTATTGAATGATGGAGAATGGAAAGATTCTGATTGGCCAAGAGTAAAAGGCAAAAGTTGGATGCTAGTAATCAAGTGTGCATAAAGTTATAGTTTCTTTTTTTTTTTTTGCATAAATTATATAAAATTTAAAAACTGCCAAAAACAGGGATTGAAGGACCTCAGAGTTCGGTTTGGCTGGGGTGGGGTGAAGTTTGGAGGAAAAATAATAATAATTTTTTTGTTTAATTATTTTAATTGATTTATGTGGGTTTAGGGTAAAGTTACCAAATTGCACTTTCAAAAATTTGGTCAAAATACAATTTTCCTGGTCGAACAAAAATTGTCCAGAAGGTCTTCGGCCACA